GAAAGTCCCGATAATAAGTGGGCCTGGAAAGCTGTTGTTGTTTATTTTCAATATCGAGGTCTCAAAGTTTCTGCAGATAATATGACTAATCTATCAGTGGACAAAAAGAAATGCATCTGTATCTTAGCTTAAGCATTCACGCTTATATTTTTTTTAGATTTTGACTATTTCATTTCGGGCCTGAACAGTTTCTGGGACTTGAAACGGGCCTTGAAAGGGCCTTTAGTGTAATTACTTGTTTTTCGCTGTTATTATTAAAGCCGCACTAAGATCCCAGGATGTTCTTAAGAAAGTTCGCTCGGGTGGTTCCTGCCGATTGCACTCTGACGTTATGACGCGCGCACGCCCTGGGAGGGGGGTGTTCATTATAATGGCCTATACGGGGAGGCTCCGCGAGAAAAAAAGGTACCTTTAACAGACCTTAAGTATATGAAAGGGGGAGGGATTCCACTAGTTAAAGTACATGCATGTATATTAAAGGGTTGGGAAATCTGTCATTTCGGTTAATGAAAGGCCCAAAAGGGCTAACAGATGCATAAATGTTACTACTGCGAGTTGAATACACTGCCTTTACGGCAGTTAAAATGGATGCAAAGTTGAAAACTAGGTATGTGAAAGGAGTACCATTTGTCTATGAAAGGTATATGAAACGGATACCTTTGTTGTCAAAAATGGTATATAAAAGGGTAAGAGGTTGAACCTCGGGGCGGAGCGCCCCCGTATAAAACTTTGTTGAGTACTCCATCACCAACCCTCTCGAGGGATGCACGATTTGTTGAATTGTTTATTATATTAAATTGTTATTATTTTTATTATTATTATTATTATTATTATTATTATTGTTACTGTTATCGTTACACTACCATTACCATTTCCATTATCATAATCATTATCATTATTATTATGTCTAAGTTTCACAGTACGTGTACGTGTTTGCTGTACTATATTGGATAGGAAAATCCTCTAGGCGGAATACTACCAGTCCTCTAAGCTAAGCAGATTGAAAATCTTCGCAAGATATGTGTGTAGGCCAGAAGAGCTTATATACATTATTTCTATTCTTATTCTTATTATTTTGCAGGTAATATTTGTCACATAATTTCCAATGGAGTATCATTATTATTGTTATTATTACTCCTCTTGCCCGTGTTTTCTTCGAAAAAATACTCGTCTGATGCGTCCTTCCAAAAAATATATTAAATTAAATAATAAGAAAAATAGTGCTACCATCAATAAACACCACTCATATGACAGGCCTCTTTGCTTTCTAAACACTTGTAAGAATCTATTACTCATCACTAGTTCCCCGTCCCTGGTTTGTCCTTGTCAATAGATATGTTAGAGGCTGTATTTTGATTCGTTGCCAGACCCATCACCTTATTGGTATAATTGAATGTTTTCGGTAATCTTGCGTTACCTATAAGTTTCGAGTCATCAGCATAAAAAAATAATAATAAAAATAAAAACGAGAACTGTGCAATACTCTTTTACAAACTTTTTCAGAAATCACAGACCTATCATCGTAGCGATGTCTTTGATTTGCTGCCAGAATCCTTTGCGACCGCCGTGATGATACCTGATGCGGTTGGAACCTGGTTGCTTCATTGTCACGTGAACATTCACATGGATGGTGGGATGAATGCTCTGTTCACAGTTTTGGCTTCAACAAGTGAGTTTGTAGTTGAAAGGGGGTAGACCAAAAACGACTGTTGCTCTTGCAGATATTTATTTAT